ACGTCCATTACTGTCCCATTCTTTACTCAACCCTCCTCCTTCTATCATCTAATATGGTCTCTATTCATCTTTGATTTTCAGAAACACTTGAATAGCCCATTTCGAATATATTGCAGAGACTAAACCTTCAATGGACACTGATTCTCTTCCTGTTCCCTTCTACTTTCCCTCTTCCTCCATCTTCACAACCCCATTCTTTCGCAATTTGCTCCGTTCCTTGCTACTTGAAGTCTTCCAATGCCACCACACGTTGAATTTTCTAAACCCATCTAGTCCGTAGGTGGTGCATTTACCTACGGATTCCTGGTATTTTCTTCATCGCCAATCATTGCCTATTTTCAGTGGAAATATCCGCGGCCGCAGGGGGAATTGGGGTGAGCTTCAGAAGTTGCCTTTCCCAGGTTTTCCCCTGGTTGGTGATTGCTTACAGAATCACAAAATTATCACTAGGCTGTTTTCTCCAACTATCTCAGGCTATATTTTATTGTATCTTCGGATCCTTTTCAGTTGGGACTTTTAAATGAATGTGTCCCTTATTCTACGCAATGATATTCCGTAATGTTCATACTAATTTGTCCATACCTCGCTGCATTACACTGCAGGCCCGTATACACTTGATTAAGAGTGTGTACAACTATTATGTTCTTTATATCTCTCTCCTTCTCGAGCATTTTCTATCCCTGTCTTGCGCCTTCGTGTTTCATCCTTACCCCAACCACTTCTGTTACTTGGTGAGTTTAATGCCCACACATTTCTCCTGGGGGGGGTTCTCATTGTGACTCACGTGGCATCCAGTTGGAGGGCTTTTCTAGCCTCTCACCCCCTATTGTTTTTAAATACGGGTAATCCACCCATTTTGTCCTCATACGCAACTTCTCTTGCATCGATCTTTTTCAGTCTGCCTCTTCCTCCACTGCACTGACTTCATCTAGGTTGTCTTACAAGCCTTACATGACAGCGATATTTTCCACTCATTCTTACTTATCCTTCCTAGTTCACCACCTTTCGTAGCCCTCGTGGCAATTTGATGATATCGGGCAAATTGGGATCTTTAACTCACACCTCTCATGTTTTAGTGAGGTTCCTTCTTTTTCATCCTCATTGATGAGCTCCTTAAAACATCTTTCTCGACGTCAGTTTTACGCAGTTCTAATTCTTATACCCCATAACCTCTGCAGGCATTTCAGAAGTGCGTGCCTTGGATTGGTGGTACTCCATGCCTTGTGCTCAGTGCAGTTCGTTTGAAAGTTTGTCTACATGAGGGGCAGGTACGTTAAATAGAACCGCTGAGAAGACTTCTTGATTTTTAAGTAGAAGCGTAAGCGATCGATAGCCGTGTCTTCGTGAACGCTAAACGCACTTGTTGGGAGATATGTTTCCATATCACTCTGTTCTTCTATGAGTGCAGTCTGGAAAAAACGTGAGGACAATTGTGTGGTAAATATCTCCTGATCCCGGCTCCTGTTCTAGGGTCGCTGGTGTTTTGTTGCAGCCTAACCCATCTCGACGTTGCCATTGAACTTGGCAAATTCTGGTCCGTATTCTTCCCGAGGGCTCCATCTATGCCATTGTTTCTTTCATCAAAGTCTGACAGAGAGTTAGTGACTTGGACTTTTCTTCCTCTCAGAGAAGAACAGTATAATGTTGCCTTTTATCACTTCAAGAAACTGGAGGCAACGGCTCTCACCTTGCGATCCTCGGCAGCTGGGCTAATCGACATTCTTATTCGTATGTTTACATCATGACATCGGTCAGCCCTTGTGTCCTCCTACACCTCTTCAATCTTATTTGGGAACAAGGAGAGTTATTCCCAGCTGTGGAAATCTGCCATTGTTTCCTTTCCGCACGCGGTACTTTCAGGAACAGGATAACTCCATATCGCCCCTTTGCTCTATAGTGCTGTTTGCAAAGTGATGGAACGTCTCCGTAAACGCGTTTAATGTGGTATTATTTAGAGACAACACAACAGTCTCTCCGTTGTCAATTATGGCTTTCGAAGGGTAGTTCTACCATAGGACCCCTTACTACGCTTGGTATAAGTATTGTTTGTAATGCCTTTGCGATAATCACTCAGTTATTGCCATAATTTTTTCGACTTGAGAAGGCATAAATGACACACTTGGAGGTATAATTTTTTGGCCCAGGCCCATTCCTTAGGCCTCCGAGGCAATTCATACCATCCTTCCTTAAGAACTTTTTAATGACTGCATTTCGTGTTCGATTCAATAATGTTCTTTCCCCCGGATTAGTCCTTGCTGAAGGTGTCCCTCAGGATGTGTTCTAAGCACAAACACTTTTTCTCCTTGCTATAAATGATTTGGCCTCTTTTATTCCTACCACAATATTTGGGTCATTCACTCTCTGTGTTGACTTCGCTATTGATTGTGGCACAGGGGCCTCTGATGTCAGCTCTATTGCAGTTTCTCTCCAGCATGCGGTCGACCGTGTTTCCACTTGGCGCCACCACGCTGGGGTTTACAATTTTCAAGTTACCAAAACTCACCAATTACTTTCACTAAACGCTCTGTTATCTCCGATACATCCTTTGTTTTATTTATGGACTCCCGCCCATACCCGAACGTGAACGTCAGGTTTCTAGGCCTTATCTTTTGACAGTAGTTTCGGTTTCCTGGTAACCTCACATAACCTCTCTGAGGGCAACTTGTCACAGCGGCTAATCCTTTTTAAAAACTCACACTTGATAATCTTTCCTGGGGAAAACGAGCTGATTGTCGACACTCTGCTTCGCTACATTCAGCCCTCGTTTTATCGAAAACTCGATTTATGGTGACCAGATTTATTCTGCGGCCTCTCCTGCTACTTCTCTAGCTTAAATCTATCACATCACCATGGATTTCGTTTGTGCCTTCTCGCTGCTTTTCGCTCTCTTCCTGTTGAGAGCTCTATACAGAAGCGATGTTCCAATATTATTTTTGCCTTCTGGCTGATCCGCTGATGCCCATTGCCCTCGCGCTACTATGTACGCTCTCACGATCTTCCACAATCTTCCATGTATAGCATGCGTCTGACGATATTAGTAGACTTTCTTTATTTCGTTGCCGCCCCCTGTTTGCCTCCGGTCACTTTCTCTTCGCACTCACATTCACTCAGTCGTCTTCCCTTCAGTGTACTCCTTTATTGTTCATGTAGCATATCCACTTTTACTAACCCCCTGGGAAGTTCCAGGCTGTTCGAGTCTGTCTTCTTTCTCACTCCCTTGCTCGAAAAGCTCATGCCTCGGTGGGCTTACCCGCTCTCTTTTCTTGTTAACTTCCATCCCATTCTCATGCCAACGGCTGTGTAACAGATGGCTCTAAGTCTTCAGACGGCGTCGGATCGAAGAATTGTTCTCCGGACAGGGTAGTGCCGGGGACATTTACTATCTTCTCAGCATAGCCATTTTTACTGATGAACTGTATGCCATTTCTTGCGCATTATCGCTTATCGCATCTATCCTGTGTCATAATTTGTTGTAGTCACAGACTACCTTAGTGCTCTACAGGCTATACGAAATTTGAACATCTCATCCCCGAGTTCTCCGTATCCAACTTTGGCTAATGCCCGTATCTCTACCAGCATATGTTATTGTTTTTTGTTGGGTCCCTGGTCATGTCGACGTACAGGGCAATGAAACAGGCAGACTCTGCTGTAGCGAATTGTCTGCAGTCAAGGACCCTACCAATTTACTAGCGATGTGTTCATTTCTGGACTATTTTGTCTGCAATAGCTACCCACCTTTGCACCGTGGCAACAAACGTTGGTCAACTTGCTCGGTAATAACTTCATTCTAGTTCTAAACCGAGCATAGGTTTACTGGCCGTTTCTTGTCATCAGTTGCCGTGGTTGGGAGACCACTCTCTCCCGCATTCACTATTGGTCACTCTCCCGTCTTACTCATGGGTTATCTCTGGGGGCACCCTGTTCCTCTCTGTGGCTGTGTCAAGTTCCAGTATCGATTAGCCACTTTATGTTAGTATGCCCTATCTATCAACGAGCACGCAGAATTTTACCACCAACGTCGTCTTTCGTTCTACTAATCTTGCTTTACTTCCCTTCTTAGATGATGGAACCCTCCTTTATCCTGGACTCTATCTCTGACTTCATTGACAAACGATGATTTACTCCAACATCTCTGATGATAATTTTAGCACTCCACTCACGACCTTTATACGGTCACGGGTTCTTGCTGCCCTTTACCCTTTCACCATCCACTGCCACGCTGGTACCGTAACCTAATACTCATCCTATCTCCCTTTTGCCTCCTGATGCCCTGCTTCCTTCCAGGCAATGCCAGCGACTCGTATAGTCCTTGTGGCTTAGCGCTTCTTTTTTAATTTTAATAATATTAATAATGAAGAAATCATATTTCTTTTGCCATTTTCGAAGGGTTCGGTGGTTGTACGGAAGTACTTGAGGGTTTTAGATACTCCAAACAAGGTTAAGGAACAACGGGGCTAGCGATCATACGGTGACTTTATTAATATTACCTCTTTTCTTTTGGTTTCAATAACTGTCACATACTAAATTATACATTGTTAAGCCAGATTCATCAGCGATCATTTGTCTGGATGCCACTAACGTGTCTATGTAAGTTGGTTCAGATATTCTTTTTATTTCTAGCACATCACTTTTAGTGCTGAAATCAGTGCGACAGAATATTTGAAAGCTTGTTTAGATTCTGTTCATCAGTTCATGTTCATGCAGTGTATTTTCACTTCTAGTGAAATGTTTACTTTTAAATAAAATCAAAGAATAATTGCTTTCGTGCCATTAATAGTGTTTCTCTCACATCATTCAATTACAGCTAATTCTACAGTTCTTTCTCTTTAATTCTGTCAATATTAAAGATGGGCTTTATGTTAGTGTGATAGTCTGTTTGAAGTGCTGTGGTGAAAAATACTATAATTATTAATATTAGGAAGAAAAAAATCATAATTTTTAAATACTGTGATATTGTTTATCTATTGTATTACATAATTTGATATAATATTATCTTGTAGGTTGTAGAAGTTGTCCTCAACTCACTTGGTACAGTTTTACCAGTTCTTCATCCTCTCTGTTCACACATTTTAAATAATAAAGGAGGTAAGCAAATTTATATATTTAATATGTTCTGTTTATATAATTATGTTTCTAAAAGGTAATTGGTAGTGTACAATGTGGCATAGATTGCCAGTGGAGCATAGCATTATCCTAAAGGAATTTCAAGTAGAGTACACTATCTTTGTGTCTCAATTTTGTTTTTCTGTGCTTAGACAAAACTTCATTTGTTACATGTTCTCATTTTCCTCTTTCATATTGGTAACTTATTTGCCTTTTTTTCCTTAATGACTTTATTTTCTATTTCTACTTTCCCACATATATTTACTTCCCTAGGAAGTCCTTACTTCATCTATATTCTTGATTTTTTGTTGTATGAAAAGGAAAATCTGTAAAATTAAGTTCAAATTGGCAGTGATCTACTCTTGTTGTAATTTCTTACCTTTTAGAGCACATTATGAAAGATGAGAATCTTTTATATTTTGCATAGGATTGTAAACTCTGTACTTGTAGATACTTGCAATTACAGTAAGTTGTCTCAATATGGTTAAAATGAGGTTTTCTCAAATTCTTGTACTCTTGAGCGGACTTCACTGGATTAATCAGCAGTTCATGTTTGTTCATGGTCCTCTTTCCATAAATTGGACCATACCTCCCGTATCTGCTTATCCATCTTGGCTTAGGTAATTACTGTGCCAATCATGGCTATTGCTTGATGTTGTGTTTAGTCAAGTTTTTACTAGATATGATATGTCCATCTTGCTTATTCTCACTAAGCAAAGTTATCAAGGTAGAAACACTGAATCACAATACAAGTCTTAAGCTTAAAACTTGTGATAATGATCAAGAAAGTACAGATCTTGGATAAGTTGTAAGCAGGATCCTGAGTTGTTGAAATGGCACATGATCATAGGTTGACTAAATCAATGAGTCTTCCATTAAGAAGAATCAGGTAGTTATTTGAGCCTGTTTTTTATGAAAGTGGATGCTATCAAGAACTTATTTTAGTAAGAATGAAAGGATTGTTCAATGCTGCCAGAGACCGTCTCACATTATTTCTCAACAGCAGTGCCCTGATAGATCATAAGTGTAAATCAGAGTTCATATACTGCTCTGAAAATTCCTGTGCCATAAAGGGTGAGAAGAACTTTATATCTGTTTTATGGCAGTTCAGTAAGCAAGCATGCATAATCAATAAGTGGCACAATCACTCTACCATTGGTCAAAACTTATCTTTCAAGAAAGAAACTTGCATTCAAGGTTCTCATTCTTGTTACTCCCCGTAGTCAAAGATGTTATGGAATCATGAACCAGATAGGAGATTGTGTTTTTGCCAACCACACTGCAATTTATTTTGACAATATGTGTGAGGTGGGCAAGTTAATCTAAAGGTAAGGCAAGAGATAGTAGATTATTCTAGGATTATACTACATGTATATAATGAATTTAAAATACAGTATATTGAGTTTCCTTCATAATTTAGTATGTAGAATTTTTTTATACAGTACAGTGTATCTTTTCATTGACAGAATATTTATTACTCATCAAAATTATTCTGTTATTTTAATTAGTTTTATATTTTGCTCTGTAGATTATGATATAAATATTCATTTCTCTTCAGGTGTTTGGTGCTGTATGCCAGATGTCAGCAGCAAACATATCTTACCTCTCTGCTTCAATATTTCCAGTTGAACTTGCAAGGTTAGAAATTCTGCTTTAAATTTTTTTTCCCTCAGATATCCATGTAAGTTGTATACGTATTTCAGAAAGTTGAATATGGAAAAACATTTTCATGCCAGGATATACATGAATTCCTAATAATTCAATGATCTGATTTCACCTATATGTGGGATATGTTGCAGAGAAATGCTTGATAGCACATGCAGTGAAGATCAGTTGCAGTATACTTCTCTAGTCCTGGGAATGGTGCTGTGTATGGGCGACACACTACCTTATACCCATTATTGTAAGTTTAGCTTAGAAAAAATTATGCTTTGTAGGGATTTACATGGATCACATGATAATGCCAGCAAAAACAGTAACAGTAGTAAATACAGCAAAATGGCTCTTAATACAGTATTAGTGCTGATAACTGAGACACTTGTGCAACACCTGTATATCTTTACTGTGGTAATATTTTGCCAGCCAGTGGCTTCATCATGTGTATTTGAAGGCACAAAAAATTGTCTGCATTAGTATATCAGAAGCACAGTTGTCACTTGCATACTGGTATGTTGGGCACAGTTAAACATCCATTCAGGCCAAAAAAAAGCCAGACCACAACTCACTGGTGACTGAAGTTTCTTGCTGTGTTTATGGCCTCTTAAGATAAAGAGCAATAATATTAAAAAGACAGAAAAAAGTAAATAAATAAGGCAAAGTTATGAAATTGTAGCAACATCCGATAAGTAGTGATAAAATTACTTGAGAAAAGAGAAGAACCTCAACATATACAGTACTGTACTTAGAAGTAAATATTCAGAGTGACTTTTGTATCACATAGGTAAGGATGGAGGAAATTTGTGAAAAATATAACTTTACAACTTTGATTTCTTTCCACGGGGAAGCAAAGAAGAATCCTTCCTCCATAAACCATGTGTGTCATAAAAGGCAACAAAAGTACTCGGAGCAAGCGGTTAGTAACTTCTTTTGTATAAATTACTAAACATAGAAAGAAGAAAAACTTTTGTTTTTTCAAGTCACCCTGTTTCGGTGGGAGATGGCTGTTATGTTAAAAAAATAAGAACTTTGATTTCTACATATTTTACATCTGATAAGAAAGGTATAGTGATAGAAATTAAAATAGAAAAGTTGTAATGAAAATATTTGTTGACTGAATAATTTTGTAAAAGTTTTATTTAAAAAAATTTGCTCAAGTGTAACAATTTTTTTTTTTTTTTTTGTCATCAGATTGTTTCATCCTTTTTTCTTATTTTTTTTTAGGTGTAATGAATGAAAAATTTATGTACATGTTATTGGATGGAATAGAGAAGTACAGTGAAGATCCTGACACTGAGCAGCTGGCTGAGCTCTTCCTAACTTTGGTCTTAGCCTTCAACTTACAATATCCCACCCTGCTACCAACTGTTCAACTTCGCACAAAATCTTCCAATACTCCTGTAGATGATAGCCGAATGGTTGGAATGCCTGAACAAGATATAGCAAATATCAGTGGTTACGATATTATGGAAAATGGCAACATCCCAGGAGCAGACATGGAAAATATGGTGATTAAACTCTTGTCACAGAGAGAGAGCACTAAATACTTCACAGAAAAACTACTACTACTATTTAATAGAGAAGGTATGCTGAAGAATATTATTATTTAATAAAATTAATTATGAATTTACTGATAGACTTCTCAGGTTGTAGGCAGCAGTTTAACTGACTGTGTTGACACAAATATTACTGTGAGGAATAAGTCATATTACCATGACTTGATAATAATCTAGGATAGGGCAAAATGCCATCTAATTTTTAATTTTGACATTTTATTTAATGTTTTTTATTAATTAATGCTGCCTCTTTTTGTTTGGAATGATAGTAAATATTTGTGTATAGTGTTTATGTTCACTGATTTTATTTGTTTATTAATTCTATCTGTTTTATTTTGTTGTGTATATTTTTTATGCCTGTGAGCAATGACTGACGTACACAGTCAAGGTGCTAAATGTCACAGCTACTACTTGCTCCCTTGAGGTTTACTTTCTTTGGCCATATAAGTTTATGGATATACATAGTCCTGATTGAAGAAAATGCCACAGTACTGTGATGACTGGAACAATTTACAACTATAACTCACTAACTGGAGATGAAACTAAATGATGTCTCAGTTGACTAGGGCCATTGACAAGTTGTAATTATAAAGTCACTAAACTTGATAATAGATGAGGACAAACCAAAAAGTAAGATAAAAGGTAAAGGAAAAAGGCAGAAAGAAGAAAGATAGGGAAAATAAAATGGATGATAGAAGAGAGAAAAGTGGATTAAGTATAGTAGACCACAAAGCAGTCTGCTATACTTTAGTAAGTGAAGCAGAAGAAAAGATTCATAAGTGAAAAAAAAAAGTACTGTAAGCATTTTTATTTCCCAGTTGTGATCATGTCAGAAGATCTCACCTTCAAAGACTATAACATTGTATCAATCGCATCTGCTAGAAAAATGACAGAATGGATAATGAGAACCTTCAAAACTAGGGATGCCAAGCCCATGATGACAGTCTTCAGGTCACTTGTTCTGTCTAGTCTGGAATATTGCTGCACACTAAGAGCATCTTTCAAGACAGGTGAAATTGCTGACCTAGAAAATGTACAGAGAACCTTCACAGCACACATAACTGCGATAAAACACCTCAGTTACTGGGAATGCTTGAAGTTCCTCAACCTGTACTCCCCAGAATGCAGGTGGGAGAGATACATGATCATATACACTTGGAAAATCGTAGAGGGATTAGTACCAAATTTGCACATGAAAATCACTCCCTATGAAAGCAAAAGACTTGGCAGATGATGCAAAATCCCCCAATGAAAAGCAGGAGTGCCACTAGTACGATAAGAGACAGCAAAATAAGTGTTAGGGGCCCAAGACTGTTCAGTTGCCTCCGAGCATACATAAGGAGGATTACCAATAGACCACTGGCTGTCTTCAAGTAGGCACTGGACAAGCATCTAAAGTCTGTACCTGATGAGCCAGGCTATGATTTGTATCTCATTATATGTGTGGCCAACAGTAACAGCCTGGTTGATCAGGCCCTGATCCATCATGAGGCCTGGTCATGGACCAGGCCATGGGGGCATTGACCCCTGGAACCCTCTCCAGGTATTATGGGAGGTGCCTTGATGCTGGGGAAGGGCCATTGTTCCTGAGAATTGGAGCTACCCTCTCTTTCCTTGGATCAAATCTGATTTCCTTCCATTTCCCAAGGTACTATGATATTTACAGATTTGGCATTTCCCCCTGAATATAATAATGTTTCCCACTTGGAATTCCATGGTAACTTCAGTCATTCTATTGCTGAAGAGGTTGTATAATGTATGGCAAAATTTTATGTAAATTCTCCATAGGGTAAATGTGTAATACACAGTTGGTCAGTTTGACTCCTACCATGGTGGTAATTCCTCTGTTGTCTTATCTATAAAAAAATCTGTGATCACTATACATCACTTTTCTCAGGTTGTAGTAATATGTAATGTAAAAATTCTGCTTTATATTTGACAGAGGACCCATTAGCCATGTTTGATCATGAGCCACAACCCCCAAACTCCGTGCTTAAGATGATGCGAGATATGTATTCTACTCGAGCCACAGCATCTATATTTTACACCAATGATGAAAGGGTTGTGTGTGATATAATTATTCGGCAACTGACAGACCTTCCAGCAGATGATAAGGTGAGAAGTGAACCCTAAAACATTGTACAGTATATTGAGTTTTATGTACTGTATGCTAGTTTTTGTGCTCGCACTGTGCTAAGTTATTCGTTTTTGTTGATAACCCGTGCCTAATATTATATTTTATATTATCACACCGGCCGATTCCCACCAAGGCAGGGTGGCCCGAAAAAGAAAAACTTTCACCATCATTCACTCCATCACTGTCTTGCCAGAAGGGTGCTTTACACTACAGTTTTTAAACTGCAACATTAACACCCCTCCTTCAGAGTGCAGGCACTGTACTTCCCATCTCCAGGACTCAAGTCCGGCCTGCCGGTTTCCCTGAATCCCTTCATAAATGTTACTTTGCTCACACTCCAACAGCACGTCAAGTATTAAAAACCATTTGTCTCCATTCACTCCTATCAAACACGCTCACGCATGCCTGCGGAAGTCCAAGCCCCTCGCACACAAAACCTCCTTTACCCCCTCCCTCCAACCCTTCCTAGGCCGACCCCTACCCCGCCTTTCCCCTTCCACTACAGACTGATACACCTTGAAGTCATTCTGTTTCGCTCCATTCTCTCTACATGCCCCGAACCACCTCAACAACCCTTCCTCAGCCCTCTGGACAACAGTTTTGTAATCCCCCCACCTCCCCCTTTAACTTCCAAACTACGAATTCTCTGCATTATATTCACACCACACATTGCCCTCAGACATGACATCTCCACTGCCTCCAGCCTTCTCCCGCTGCAACATTCATCACCCACGCTTCACACCCTTTATAAGAGCGTTGGTAAAACTATACTCTCATACATTCCCCTCTTTGCCTCCAAGGACAAAGTTCTTTGTCTCCACAGACTCCTAAGTGCACCACTCACTCTTTTCCCTCATCAATTCTATGATTAAACCTCATCTTTCATGACCCATCCGCTGACACGTCCACTCCCAAATATCTGAATACGTTCACCTCCTCCATACTCCCCTCCCTCCAATCTGATATTCAATCTTTCATCACCTAATCTTTTTGTTATCCTCATAACCTTACTCTTTCCTGTATTCACCTTTAAATTTCCTTTTTTTGGGCACCCCCTACCAAATTCATCCAAATCTCTGCAACTTCTCTTCAGAATCTCCCAAGACACAGTGTCATCAGCAAAGAGCAGCTGTGACAACCCCACTTTGTGTGTGATTCTTTATCTTTTAACTCCACGCCTCTTGCCAAGACCCTCGCATTTACTTCTCTTAAAACCCCCAAATCTATAAATATATTAAAAAAACCACGGTGACATCACACATCCTTGTCTAAGGCCTACTTTTACTGGGAAAAAATTTCCCTCTTTCCTACATACTCTACTTGAGCCTCACTATCCTCGTAAAAACTCTTCACTGCTTTCAGTAACCTACCTCCTACAAACCCTACACTTGCAACATCTGCCACATTTCCCCCCATCCACCCCGTCATACCCTTTTCCAAAACCATAAATCCACAAACACCTCTTAGCCTTATCCAAATACTGTTCACTTATATGTTTCACTGTAAACACCTGGGGCCACACACCCCCTACCTTTCCTAAAGCCTCCTTGTTCATCTGCTATCCTATTCTCCTCTTACTCTTAATTCTTTCAATTATACTCTACCATAAAACTTACCCGGTATCACTCAACAGACTTATCCCCCTATAATTTTGCACTCTCTTTTATCCCTTTGCCTTTATACAAAGGAACTTTTGCATGCTCTCTGCCAATCCCTAGGTACCTTACCCTCTTCCATACATTTATTAAATAATTGCACCACCACTCCAAAACTATATCCCCACCTGCTTTTAACATTTCTATCTTTATCCCAAACAATCCCGGCTGCCCTTACCCCCCTTTCATTTACCTACTGCCTCACGAACTTCCCCCCACTCACAACTGGCTCTTCCTCACTCCTACAAGATTTATTCCTCCTTGCCCTATACACGAAATCACAGCTTCCCTATCTTTATCAACATTTAACAATTCCTCAAAATATTCCTTCCATCTTCCCAATACCTCTAACTCCCATTTAATAACTCTCCTCTCCTATTTTTAACTGACAAATCCCCTTTGTTCTCTAGGCTTTCTTAACTTGTTAATCTTTACTCCAAAACTTTTTTTTTATTTTCAACAAAATTTGTTGATAAAAATCTCACCCACTCTCTCATTTGCTCTCTTTTTACATTGCTTCACCACTCTTAACTTCTCTCTTTTTCTCCATATACTCTTCCCTCCTTGCATCAAATTCTACTTTGTAAAAACTTCTCATATCTAACTTTTTCTCCCTTAAATACTCTCTTTACATCATCATTCCACCAATCGCTCCTCTTCCCTCCTGCACCCACTTTCCCGTAACCACAAACTTCTCGAAGGGGGCCCTAACCTACATTTTAAACCTACCCCATCCTTTTTTTGACCCCTTTTCCTATGTTTCCTTACCCATCTTCCCCCAAATACTGTTTATATTTTACCCTAACGCCTCCTCTTTTATTTATAACCTTCCCCCTTCTCTTCCCTGGCTTCTATTCTCCTTTTCCCCATCTCCCTTTTTACTCTCATGAGCTACAACTAGAAAGTGATCGATATATCTGGGGCCCCCCTTATAAACATGTACACCCTAAGTCTACTCAACATTTTTATCTCCCAATACAAATCCAACAAACTACGTCTTTCGCCCTACATCATACGTGTATACTTATTTATCCTTTTTTTTCCTTAAAATAGTATTCCCTAAAACTAAACCCCTTTCTATCAAAGTTCAATCAAAGGGCTCCCTTTATCTTTTAAAACTGGCACCCCAAATTTTCCTACCACACCCCTCAAAAAGTTTCTCCTACTTTGCATTCAATCCCCTACCACAATTACTCTCTCACTTGGTTCAAATGCTCCTATACATTCACAAACATCTCCCAAACCCTCTCTCTCCCCTGCATTCCTCTCTTTCCAGTGAAACCCGCTTTTTTATACCCATTCTCGCATCCAACCCTTTTATTTTAATCCCATAATTTTTGAATTTACACATTCAATTCCTTTTCCCCTTCCATAACTGATCTTTTAACATTACTGCACCCCTTTCCCTTTTGCTCTAACTCTCTCGATACTCCAATTTAACCCATTTATTTCCCCCCACTGAAACCTCCTCCCCCCCCTTCACTTTGTTTCGCTTAGGGCCGGACACCAACTTCTTTTCATTCTAACACAGCAAACATCTGTTTTGTCAACCCATTCATCCAGCACATTTAAGCAAAACCCCTTTTATAAAGTTTTTTTCTTCTCTTTTTTTAGTAATTGTTACGGAGAAGGGGTTTTCTAGCCCATTGCTCCCGGGATTTTTTCCCTCTCACACCATGGCTTACGGGGAAAGATTTTTTTCCCCTTCCCCCCTGGACAATAAAGAAAAAAAAAGAACAAGAGCTATTTAGAAAAAAGGGAAAAAACCAGATGTAATTTAATATATATCATGTGCGTGTCCCGTGAAGTTGACCAAAGGTAAGAGGGGTAGCCAAAAATATCCCCGTTATCTTGGGGTGTTTATGAGACAGAAAAAGAAACCAGCAATCCTACCATCATGCAAAACAGTTACAGGTTTTTGTTTCACAGTCATCTGGCAGGACGGTAGTACTTCCCTGGGGGGTTGCTGTCCCCACCAACCTACTACCTACACCCGTGCCTAATATTGTATTAAAGTATTGAGTTCAGACATGTTGAAAAGTAGTGATGTTTATGCAAGTCAAGTAGGCAAATTTGAGTTTGCAACCTAGCCTCATTTTATACAGTTTGTTTTCTTGTGCATTACCCAGTGTCAATTTCTAAGCATTTTCTGTTTATAATTTTTTTTATATAAAGTTAGGCTTTTTTAGGAGTATTGCATAAAACTCTGAAAACATATTTCTGTTGAGGGGCCATCAGACCCATATTGGAGTGTCATGCCTATCCCACTTGTAGTAGCCCTGGGAGGTCTGTTAAGCACTATTAAGCCCCAAGTTCATCCTTCTTCAAATGACAGTTTCCTGTGAGTTTTTTTTTAGCATGCTTTTAACTAAGTGAGTTTCTGTTTGTGAAGATTCTCCTGAACTTTATTTTTTTGTTTGGGGGGGGGGGGGAGTTTCCTGTTAGATATTAAGTACAGTAGGGGCCACACTTATATGGCAGGTTAGGTTCCAGGCTACCCCGGAAAGCAGACATCGCCATAAAGCAAAACACCCTTTTTTTCCACTTATAAATGCCAGATAACAAGTTTACACTAAGGTTTATTAAGTTAGCAGTAGAACTAGTCATTAAAAACAATAAAAAGTAAAATACACACACAGTACACTCATTACTTACCTTTAAAATATTTGTAGTCTTAATGTAGGGTGAGAGATGAGTGTTTACTGTAGAAAGTCGGGTGTGGGAGCCCGCCACCTACTACACCTACACGAAATATACGACTTAAATTTAAAGTGCCCAAGAGCAATTATTATTGTTATTATACAGCCTCTCCTCACTTAATGATGGAGTTCCATTCCTAAGACCAAGTTAGTAAACGAATTCGTTGCTAAGCAAGGAGCATACTACACCTACCATCCAACTTACGACCTCCTCATCATACAACCACTCGACTTACCACCATGTTTTGTATGCAAATGTTCTGGGAAATATACAACTGTTTGTGCTGTACACATTGTTTCTCCTAAACCTTACAGTATAAATTACAGTACTAATGGCATAAAAAGTAAAGTAAAAAATGAAATAACAAATAAAACAATAAAATAAAATCATTACAATACTGTGATATTGATATTCAGTAGTAAGGTTTGACTTACGTCCATTTTGACTTACGCCCGGTTAGTCGGAACCATGCTCGGTCATAGATCGAATGGTAGGTGTAAAATGGTAGTGGGGTTGTGTCAGCCATCTTTAATGTCACCTTTACACCATTTATAACATTTTTAGTATGTTTTTATGTTTATACAGTAGTGTACTGTATATTGTAATAAACAAAATAGAGGAAATCATTTCTAATATACATTATTTAGGTATGCATACTAGTAGGTCAGAGAGCCTGTCATAAGTCTGAATTGTTGGTAAACGAGTATGTCACTAAGTGAGGAGAGGCTGCATTATTATATTATTGGTTAGCTAGACTTTACTCCTGGAGGTGGGAAGTACAATACCTGCACTTTAAAGGAGGGGTTTTGGGATATTGGCTATTTGGAGTGGCATCTAAACTGTCATATCTGGGCACTTCTGGAAAGACAGTGATTATATGTGAATGATGGTGAAAGTGTTTCTTTCTTTTTTGGGTCACCTTGCCTCAGTTGGAAAGGGCTGGCGTGTTAAAATAATCTATATATAAAATACCCTAGGTAGTAGGTTGGCAGGCAGCAACCATCCATGGGGGTACTGCCATACTGTCAAGTGAGTGTGAAACAAAAACCTGTAATTGTTTTACATGATTGGTATGATTGTTGGTGTCTTTTTTTCTGATTCATAAACATGCAAGATTTTAGGTACATCTTGCTACTTCTACTTACACTTAAGTCACATTACACATGCATGTACAAGCATATACGTATATACACAACCCTCTGGGTTTTCTTCTATTTTCTTACTAGTTCCTGTTCTTGTTTATTTCCTCTTATCTCCATGGGGAAGTGAAACAGGATTCTTCCTCTGTAAGCCATGCATGTCGTAAGAGGTGACTAACATGCCAGGGCTAGTAACCCCTTCTCCTGTATACTTTACTAAATTTTAAAAAAGAAACTTTTGTTTTTCTTTTTAGGTCACCCTGACTCAGTGAGATATGGCTGATTTGATGAAAAAAAAATACAGCCTCTCCTCACTTGAGACATACTCGTTTACCGATGCCTCAGACTTATGATGGGCTCTCTAACCAGTATTCATACCTAAATAATGTATATTAGCACTGATTTCTTCTGCTCTGTTTATTTCAATATACAGTGGACCCCCGGATATCGTAGTAGTCAGATTTCATAATACTATTCAGAAATCAACTTTTTTTCATCAAAATATTGGCTCCGTGATGATCATTGAGCTCGGTAAGTCATTCATCCCGAACGCGTCCGCATGGCAACAGCGGCCCGACACTTAGTGTACCATTGTTTATCAGCTAGTGAGCATGATCCTACGCATTCACACGATACATTTCGTATTATTCCATTCATTTTAGTGCTTGCAACTGCTAAATAAGCCACCATGGGCCCAAAGAAAGTTCCTAGTACCATCCAGCCCTTTGATAAAGGGCTGAGAGAGGGGGGGGAGAATGTGCCTTTTTCAGTGATTGTCTGATATGTATGATACTAAAGCAGCAGGAGTCGATAAAGGCTATAGTTCCAGCAGTGTTGTCAGTCACCCTGTATACCTCCAACAACATTGGAGGAGTCAGTTTCGTGCTGTCCTTTTTCTATCGATTAATTGCTTAACTTGCTTGCTACACTTTATCTCTGGCTGGCGCTATAGCCTTCATCAACTCTGCGGCTTTAGTATCATACATATTGCAGAATCACTGAAAAAGGCACATTCTCCCCTCTCTCTCAGCCCTTTACCAAAGGGCTGGCTGGCACTAGGAACTTTCTTTGGGCCCATGGTGGCTTATTTAGCAGTTGCAAGCACTAAAAAGAATGGAAAAATACAAAATATATCGTATGAACATGTGGGATCGTCCTCACTGGCTGATAAAGAATGGCACACTGGCTGTATATGGTGTGTTGAACTAGTCGTGTGTGTACACCCGTCAGTCATGTCTGTACACCTGTCAGTCGTGTGTGTAGACCCATCAGTCATGTGTGTACACCCTTCAGTCATGTGTGTACACTCATCAGTCATGTGTGTACACGCGTCAGTCATGTGTATACTGCTCGGGCCGCGCGGACACATTTGGGACAAATGACTTATACCGAGTTCAATGACGATCACTGAGCCAATATTTTGACGAAAAAAATATTACTTATTCCGAATGTTACAAATTCCGATGACGACTTAATCGGGGGGTCCACTGTATCATGTTTCTATGTTATTAATATTGTTTATGTCACATTAGATGAATTGTGCTAGATAAATAACCCGTAGAGTTGATATTAGTGTCATATTGAAGGACTATCTTGTCCTGTCTCCCAACACACTCCTTTGCCGCTGCCACAATTCCTAACATACGCCAGAAACAGACCTCTCTGGAACACTTTTTTGAGTGACAGGGGTTCAGTGACTGTCAAGCTGGTTCTAGTGGCATTAAAAAACAAAGAAGGAAAGTAACCCCAGAAAAGGACTTGGTACATGAAGTCTTTATGGAAGGGGATTCCTCTTTCAAACAGTAATTTTTCCAGTAATTGTTCCTCGCTTAGTGACGAATTGGTTTAACAACATGGTCTAAGGAACGGAACTCCATTGTTGAACATCAAAATGGTATACAATACCGACAGATTGGTAGGTAAGACACATAGGCAACAGTTAGGCAACTTTATTCCGAAACGTTTCGCCTACACAGTAGGCTTCTTCAGTCGAATACAGAAAGTAGGCAGGAACAGTAGAGATGTGAAGACGATGTAATCAGTCCATCACCCTTGAAGTCGTAGAATTTTGAGGTTGTCAGTCCCTCGGCCTGGAGAAGTTCAGTTCCATAGTCAGGAACTAGTTCCTGATAGTCAGATAGTTCCCGACTATGGAACTGAACTTCTCCAGGCCGAGGGACTGACAACCTCAAAATTCTACGACTTCAAGGGTGATGGACTGATTACATCGTCTTCACATCTCTACTGTTCCTGCCTACTTTCTGTATTCGACTGAAGAAGCCTACTGTGTAGGCGAAACGTTTCGGAATAAAGTTGCCTAACTGTTGCCTATGTGTCTTACCTACCAACTCCATTGTTAAGTGAGGAGAGGCTGTATATGAAATATGTAATAACTTTTAAACACTTCAAATTTTGGAAAGTTTCCAGTCATAATGGAGAGATGTGGAGCACACGGAGAATATAAATAAACAGAATGGTGCACGGTGACCATATTAGCGAGTCAGGTGGGGGCAGGGAAACCATATAATAGGTTTTGGCCATAATTTGAAATTTCCATATTAGCGAAATGCCGTAAACGTGGGCCCCACTGTAGTACCTTTTCACTTTATAATGACAGCTCAGTTTCCTGAGTTAGACATGTAGCAGGTCCAGGAACTGTAGACCAACCTCTTCAGCTAGACATTTAGATCCACAAACTATAACTCAACTTCTTCAGCTAAGCATGTAGTAGATGCACCAATTCATTTGAAAATTTTTGCAATAGTTCATGTGTTTCTCAAGAGGTCCTTCGCTTTATTAAATTTTGTTTGCTTATCTTTTTAGCGGCGCAATGAGTACTTGCACCTCTTAGAGGGTGTCATTGTGATGGGAGGGTGGACAGACCATCAGCACCGCAGGGAAGAGGTTTGTGTCTGCTGCTCCAATATTCTTGCTGAGGAAGAGCCAGCAGCACTAGAAGATCAGAAGATAATTAGACGTCTTATGGAAAGTTATCAACAATATTTCGATCTTTAGATGGGCTTATATCTCTTATTTGAAATATGCAATATTAGTGCTTTTGGCCATAAGGTAGAAAAGAACAAAGTAAATGTAGCATTAATATAAATAGTAAGATAAACATATCACATTGTATCAGAAATACCTGTTTCATTTATAAGTTGCTTCAGAAACATTAAGAGCAAGCAGCAAATTAAAGTATGGTAACCAAATGTAAGTGTATTGTGCTACTAATATGGAAGAAAATGTTTACAACAGTGGAAGAATTTTAATGCATTTATCCCTTATGTTACTGTTTGTTATGTTAAGAAATATTTAGTTGAATCACTAGATTGATTGTGACGAAAATCTGATGAATTAATTCCCTGGATAACCACATGTATCAGTGTGGTAACAATGTACTGTACAGGGTATCTCATACTAAAGTAAATCAGTGTGACATTTTTGAAGCAGGTTAAGTAATGATGTGGTGTATTATTATTAATCCTTATATATATAATGGTGTCTTTTCTGTCTCATAAACATGCAGGATTTCAGGTACATCTTGCTGCTTCTACTTACACTCAGGTCACACTACACATACATGTACAAGCATATATATACACACCCCTCTGGGTTTTCTTCTATTTTTTACTAGTTCTTGTTCTTGTTTATTTTCTCTTATCTCCATGGGGAAGTGGAACAGAATTCTTCCTCCATAAGCCATGTGTGTTGTAAGAGGCGACTAAAATACCAGGAGCAAGGGGCTAGTAACCCCTTCTCCTGTATACATTACTAAAGTTAAAAAGATAAACTTTTTTCCTTTATGGGTCACCCTACCTCTGTGAGATATGGCCGGCTTCTTGAAAGAAGAAGATATATATAATGGACACCCTCTTGACCCTTTGACTGTTTCGGCCGTATATATACATCTTACGAGCAGGTGTTTCGGACGTATATACATGTATACACCTTATGAGCCAGTGTTTCGGACGTATATATACATACTCAATAATTCTAGCGGCATCAAATCAAGCAGGAGAAAGCTGGTAGGCCCACATGTGAGAGAATGGGTCTGTGTGGTCAGTGTGCACTGTATAAAAAAATCCTGCAGCACACAGTGCATAATGAGAGAAAAAAAACTCTGACCATGTTTTTGGATTAAAATGCCGACTTTGAGGTGTATTTTCCTTTAGTATTTATGGTTGTATTCTCGTTTTCTTGGTTTCATTTGATAGAATGGAAAACATGTTACAGAAATAGAGATGATTTTGATTAGTTTCATGAAGAAAACGACCTTGAAATTGAGTTCAAGTAGTGGAAATGTTCGATTTTTACCAGTGTTCAAGAGTAAGCAAATCACACCACACATCTAATACACATCAACTGGGGAGTCTAATATTCTTTCACTAGTGCACTGATATTATTTATACCATTTTTACAAAAATGCAGTAGTCTGCATAAAAGTAAATCTTCTATTTTTTTGTGTGAATAAAAAATTAAAATAGGAAGCAAGAGTAATATAAGAGGGGCCTGTAGACATGACTAAGGAGCAGAGGATATGTTGTTTTAGTGCCAAGAATGTCTGCATTGTTTATTCTGGACCCTATTTTGAAATTGGCATCTATTTTAATTTGTGTGAAATTGGCCAAATTACCAATTTCTGACCACTTTATTGGGTAGAGTTCTAAAGAAATAGCTATAAGTTTGGTCAACTGGAACAATGGAATTGGCCAAAAATAGGGCTCAAAGTCGGCAAAATCACCGATGCATGTATATCGCCAAGATCGCTAACTTCGCGGGAGCGTAATTCCATAAATTTTCTATCGAATTTCATACTTTTGGTGTCATTACCATCGGGAAAAGATTCTCTGTCATTTCATAAGATTTTTTTTTTTTTTTTTTTTTTTTTTTTGACACCAGGAGACACTTCAGGATTTGGGGTTGCGACAGTCAAAGGGTTAATGACCTAGCTAGGGATCGAAGGAATGGTTCAGTAAGTGAAAAATTTGTTCAGCAAGCCTCATTTTTCCCATAGAAGTCCATATTTTAACCTGAGATGGGTTCTGGGACACTAATATTATGCATTTAATCTCTTGATTTTTTCAATAATTAAATTTAAAAACATATACTCACTAGAGATAGGTCTGTTGTTTATTAGAGGCACAGTGGGGTTATTAACCACATTTTTGGAGTGCATAACAAGAGAGACTGGTCTTGTCTAAGAGTGGAATGATATACAGTATTACCTTCCATCACTCCTCCCTTCGCTAAAGACGAGTCCATTGTTTAATAGAGGCATAGAGGTGATGTATTTCCCATTGAATGAGTGCATGGCACAAAAAATTGAAAAATTATCAAAATATTGATAGAAGTATCACATCATTTTTGTTATTGTTGGGTTAGTAGATTGAGATGGCCCTTAGATCATCAGTTATTGTTGAGGTGATAAATAGCAACAGTCTAAGGCTGTTTCAATTTTCTAACACAATAGTTGGCCTAGGATCAGTCATAACCCTTCAGCCAAACAATAACTAAAACACATTATTATACTTCACTTGATATATTGATAATTTTTCACATCTTATTGTGTTATGTACTCATAAAAGGGAGGTATGAAACTAGTATGCCTCTAGTGAATGCACCCCATCTCGGGTGAGGGGTTGGAGAGATGATGGGAGATGTGTGTTATATGACATAGGTCCTCTTTCAAAGACATAATCAGAACCTGTCTCTTATGAAGTGATAAACAATTTATGCAGTAGATCCTCTAAAAAATACAGAGGTTATGTTCTTGAAAAGTGGCATGTTATACAAAATTGTGTTAAGCAAATTGAAGAACATGTTGGAAAAATTGTGTTATGCTTAGAACCTCCATATAAGCCCAACAATATTTTTAAATTCCATATTTCATCAAAAATATTGAAAGTTTGACAACTTACATTTTATAAGTTGATTGTTGACTTATAAATTTAATACACATTCTTACCAGTATAAAATAAGCTAAATAACAACAAGAAAGACTTATCCTATACTAAATTTTTTTTGTCTTCCCTGTGGATGTAGAAGTGCTTAGAGATAGTTATGCAGCTCTGTTGAGCAGTAGATGGCTGTGAGTCACTTGCTTTATTAGCTGACTCCCCTCTTACATTTTACTATATAATTTTCTTGTCATGCAAGATTTCAGGTATGTCTTGCTACTTCTACTTGCACTTAGGTCACACTACACATACATGTACATGCATATATATACATACCCCTCTAGGTTTTCTTCAATTTTCTTACTAGTTCTTGTTTATTTCCTCTCATCTCCATGGGGAAGTGGAACAGAATTCTTCCTCCCTAAGCCATGAGTGCCATAAGAGGAAACTAAAATGGAGGGAGCAAGGGGCTAGTAACCCCTTCTGTATAAATTACTAAATTTAAAAAGAGAAACTTTCGTTTTTCTTTTTGGGCCACCCTGCCTTGGTGGGATATGGCCGGTTTGTTGAAAGAAGAACAGTGACAAAGAAGAATTTTATTCAGCCTTAAATTCCTTGCTCTCCTATTTGTTAATGAAATGTTTGGAGATGGTTATAATACTATTGAGCAGTAGATGGGTGTGGGTCATGTTTGTTTTATGAATCGATAGCAGTAAATAAGCAAGTTTATTTAGGCACAGGTACACATACCACTTATCATACATAGTGTAAATTACCTAGGATAACCCAAAAAAGTGACTTATTTCCATTGGGGGCTGTGGGTTGGTCATCTGTTGAGGTTAAAAGGGCTACTACTGCATAAACTCTATTGAGCCAAAGGAAGCAACTGACATTCTCTAGGCAATATAAATCTCTGAATAGAAAAGTTTTCATGCATGAGTCAGTTTTTTTAAAACTTTATGGTGCCCTATTCAAGTTTTAAGGTGTGCTTTACAAATTTATTCTGCAATTTTTCACTTACGATATAAATAATGTTGTTCAAGTGCATTTTATTTGAGGGTCTATTGTATATTAACATTATCTTGACTTAATTCACATTTTAACTGATGATGCACAGTATGTGAAAACTGTATGTTCACTGCTGATGCAAGAAACAGCTTATTTAGTCCTATCTCTGGAGACTTGTGAGGTGATAAGCCATATATTTGGTTGTTATACAAGGAAGCCGTTGCTATTTGTAAGGGCAGATGGCCTGGCACGCTGTTTGATATTATGTTTTGCAAACAGTTGGTAAGTGGGGAATCACTACCTTTAACTTGTGCCAATTGTATATTAAAGTCTTAATTATTAAGCCAGGGACAAAACTTTATGTAATTATTAACATCTCTAGAGATTTGTATGCAGAATGTACCTTAGTTTTATACCCAAGAAAGTTGTACCCTAATAGAAGTATGATACAGTACATTCAAGGTACTAATTGTCAGCATAAATCATTGAAGACTGTTTTTCAGTATCTGAGTACTGTATTCTTTAAAAAGTACTTGTATTATTACTGTATGAATTGCATATAGTACTGAATTTAGGAGAAATTATCTCTTGCAATTGTGCCAAAGGTGTTTCTGAATATACTTTAAGGGTCTGATTACTCTGATATTGCATATACAATAAATCTCCTAACAATCTCAGATAGCATTAGGATCAATTCAGAATTTAATATCACTGTCTTCGACTCCAAAGTTGCCACAAATCTTTGTTATGCCATTAGTAATACCTTAGATAGGAAGAGAGTATAATTTTAGGTCAGGATAGTTTCTTCATTATTTAACAAAAGTATTGAAGGAGATTTGGATATGTCCATAATCAGAACGTTTTGAATAGCTGTCAGCCTTTCAAAGCTCTTGCCTTATGGTGACAATAATCATAATCCATTCAGTTTTGGCTTTAAAGTTACATTTCTCATTAAATGTTAGTCTTGCTAAATTATAAATATTGGGGTTGTTATTTTGTGAAGTAATATGAATGCGCAAGAGATAATAGAAAAAATATCAACCAAAATGCTTACCTGGAAACTAAGTTCTCCAACAAAATGGTACATAATGGGAAGTGAAAAATAGTAATAATGCAGCATATAAATATGATATTTATCTCAGGAAAATGATCTTTAAGGAAGGGAAATTTAGTGGGGACATTGCCTATAAGTTAAAGGTTGTCACTTTTTTAAGATTAGAGTTATTCAAGGTTTGTCCACTGTAAATGTAACAGCAATTTACACAAAATTTATGGTATGCTATGTGGGTTTTAACCAGAATTCAGCATACATTGTCAATGATATTCTTGTACTACTTACTTGTTTGAGTAGGAATATAGAAAACTTGCTATTTTCAACTATATTGGTAACAAACTGCATTTAAAGTATCCTAAATAATGTACTTTAATTATAACTACTAAGAAAACATTAAATTTTTTTTTAATTAGAAATCATTGCTCTTTATAAAGTAGCTGATATTTTTTTTAAGGAATATACATAACTGTTTTAGGGAGATTACATTATTACAGCTACCATGGCACAGCATATTTTCTATGCCTGTGAAATGGATGTCAGGTGCCTATTGTCCTTATGGAAAAACAAGATTTTATTTGCATTAGGTAATTTTCATAGTGGGCTATTGGTGCAACAGTTAAAAGTGTCATAGATAAGCAATGATCTTTAAGACATATAGATATACAAAATATACATCAGAAAGCAGAATAGCTGTACTGTATATATATTTTATAAAGGCTATTTTGAATGAAAATTTTAAAATCTTTTCTAGTGTATGTAATACAATATTAACCCTTAAATGGTCCAAACGTATATATACGTTTTTTCAACATCTGAAAGTATGTAAAAAAATGTAGATCTTCTTTTTTGCTTTACATTTGAAAACGTGCAAAAAAAGCTTTTATCTACATTTTTTTTTTTTTTTTGTTATATTTGAAATTTTTTTTTTTTTTTTTTTCAACAAGTCGGTCGTCTCCCACCGAGGCAGGGTGACCCAAAAAAGAAAGAAAATCCCCAAAAAGAAAATACTTTCATCATCATTCAACACTTTCACCACACTCACACATTATCACTGCTTTTGCAGAGGTGCTCAGAATATAACAGTTTAGAAGCATATACATATAAAGATACACAACATATCCCTCCAAACTGCCAATATCCCAAACCCCTCCTTTAAAGTGCAGGCATTGTACTTCCCATTTCCAGGACTCAAGTCCGACTATTTGAAAATATGTAAAAAAAAATAGATCTACTTTTGTAGCACTATGAATTTGAACTTCGATCTGTTTGGACCATTTAAGGGTTAATATTGATGCTTTGGGGGTTTATTACTTTTTGTAGTGTAAGTAGAAATATTTTGAATATAAACCCAATAAAAAAATTGAAAATTATAAATAAATATTAATTTGCAAATACAGTAATAGTGATAAATAAGAATTTTTGTGCCTATGATCCTCTGGTGAGAGTGAGTTTGCAAAGGTCTCATGTAGCAGAACTTCACTGTTTCAAACAAAATAGGTACATTTTTAGAATTGAGAGAGTTACGAATCAACTAGTTATGCCAGAGTATCAGGGATTTTAGCAGTAACAAAAGTCAGGAATTTTTGTACATTTCCCAGTCTTGTACAAGCCACTAAATTCATTTTTTGCTTCAGTTATAGGTTCAGTGATGCCTGTCCTCAGGTCCCTTTCCTTCTAATTCTAGAAGCTGCTAACTTCTCTGGTACAGTAGTATGATTTCATCTTTATTACCGTACATTGGCTAGGATTGAACTCTAGCAACTATTTGTTGGACAGTTCCTGTACCTTGTTCAAGTTCTCCTGTGCAGTTTCTTGTAGTCTTCTTCTGGACTTATTCTCTTTATTACTTTCATGTTATCTGCTAACAGCATGAAAGATTCTGTCTTCCCAGGTAGGATATTATCATATGCATTGTCAAGAATAGTATGATGGATCCAGTGACTGGCCCTTGAGGGTTCCACTTGTTACTTCTCTCTACAGTATTTTCTTGTTAGGTACTGTATTTCCTTATCCAGTAGAGTGTCTTCTTGGACCCTCCAACCTGTATTTATGTTTTGTAAGTTATCCACCTGAAGGGTGCTTTGTCAATATCTGGCACTCAAACAATGTGCAGTCCACCTGGCCTTTGCTTCCCTGCTTGATTTTACTTGACTGTACTCATGTAATTACATTTGTATGGATCATCCTCCATTTACTTGACCTGACCTTCACTAGTAATCATCTGATCATAATATGTTAATTCATGTTAAGTAAAAGGACACATATGCAACTAATGTGACATTGTATTGTGACAACGTTTCGCTCTCCAGGAGCTTCATCAAGCCGTTACAAACAGTACACAGACACAGAGGGTATATATAGGCTCAGAGTGAGGTGTAATACTAGTGGTAGTAGTAGTAATGATATTAGTTGTAGTAGTAGTAATGATATTAGTTGTAGTAGTAGTAATACAACATTGTTGTATTATTGCTACAAAGCTCCTGGAGAGCAAAACATTGCCACAATAAAATGTCACATTAGTTGCATTTCTGCCCTTTTACTTAACATATTGTTGGTAATTCTACCAATATTAATGTTAATGCATGTATAGAATTTGCCTCCATAACTGTTTCTTGCTTAAAAAGTTCCTTACATCATTTTGGTCCATTTTATTGTTGAATTTACATCTGTGCTCCCTCTCTCTCTGATCCCAAACTTTTTGAATACATTGTCTGTATCCTGTGAGTATCTTTTCTTGGTGTGATCATGTTTTCTTTAATCTTTCATTCTTTTGAAATTGTGATTGTACCTTTGCTACACACATCAGATCACAGTATTTGTGTATGCATATAGTTTCAAATTAGAGAGTGCATGGGGAAGGTTTGTTGTGTCACTTTAAATTTTAGTGTTTCAAAAATTATTTTAGGTGAAACAAGATTTTTATTTGAAACAGTGAAATTCTATGGTGATAAAGGATTTACATATTTAAATTTACAAAATTCTAGTAGAATTAGGGAAAGTAGTAGGAAAAGGTCATCAAAGAGAAATAATAGAAGAGAATTTGAGTTTGAATGTATATGGCAATCTTTTCTTGAGATTTATGCAACATATTCTACAAATTTTGTAATTATTGTAATTGGTACAGTGAAGTTATCAGAAATGCTTAAAGAAAAATTCTTTTTATGCTATTCCCAGATGTGTTTTTGTGTTTTGTTAATTGTATATTAATTATTTATTGAATGGAAAATGACTTACACTTAAGAGTACAGTATTTATTTCTAAGTTTTATTATAATTTTCATATATTTATGTGTAAAATATTGAGGAATTTCCTTAGGAATGAGTACATATTTGTAAAGTCTAAACAAATTTATAATTGTCTGTTTTTTAAATGTTTCATCTGTATCATTGATGACATAGTTTTAGGCAATGAGAGCAAGCTTGGGCTGGTGGTATTCAACATTACATCTTAAACAGAATCATTTCCCTGGAGGCAAAACTTTCATGAAACTGAACTCAGTGATTCCAGATAAAGAATGCATGTGTTTGTTGAATTTAAACACAAGGTAGATAATGTATTAATAATAGTAGAACTTTATGTGAAAATTCATGGAAAATAAGGTGAGAATTTCATTGACTTTTTCCATGAATTTAACTTTACATTGTATTTTGCAGTTACTGTACTAAAAATATAACAAAGCAAAACTTTACAACTTTGCTTCTATCCCATGAACCATAAATACAAAACATGTTTACTCATAATCATATCTAAGTTTACGGTTTTGTACAGTAGTACAGTATCTGTTGTTTCGTCTCTGTAAATACTATACATATATTAATTTCAGTATTATTTTGTAGTATCATTGCTCATTAATAGTAATTTTTGTCATAGAAATCATACATTTATCCACAATTTTACCATATTTATACATAGAAGTGGAATGACTGGAAGAGAGTTTTGCAAGCAAACAAGTTTTGTGAAGAGAGCAAATTGATGTATCTTTTCTGTATGAAGAGGATTATAGTATTATGATTGGTCACTATATTCTTCCTTTTTATATTCAGATTTTATTCAGAAAGTGTAAAATTTTCTGACACTTGTAATTGCACACTTTTAGCTGGAGAGTGTTGAAACTTTTGAATTGAGCTAACTCTTATTGCCTAGAAGATGACATCATTTGTAGAAGTAGTTATTGTAATAAAAATGAATATATATATTATAAAAAATATTGCTAATGTTTATTGTGAATATACAGTAGAGTAGGGGCCCTGACTTACAAAGCTCTGGCATACAAAATTGGCACCTTAGAACGAATTAATTGCTTACAATGGTGATCTACATTTACAATCTTTACAGACATTCAAACAGATTATTTTAAATAAACATTTTTCTTAACAGTCTTTTACCAGATGCATTGCTACTTTGTGTACATTCAATTTATGGATATATAGAGAGCTCCCATTTGTTTGTTAGAGCTTGTCAAAGAACCATAGATTTAATAGTCATGATTTTCTTAAAGCAGAATTATTATTTTTATTTGTTAGTTTTTACCAAATACATTCATACTTGGTGAATCTTCATTTCTTGCATATACAGATAACTCGCATTTGTTTATTAAAAAACTGTTGATGCAGTAATTGTATTTTTTGGGCAGCCTGTATTAGTGTTTACTCCCACATACTGAACATGTTCAGTGAGCCAAACATAGGACCTCATGCCGCACTACACAGTTATACTTACCACTTCCTTTCTGCATCTAGTATTAAGTCTGTGAGTTCTGTTGCAGCTATCAAGAAAGAGGCTCAGAACAGGATTGATATTAGAATTGATTATCTTGCAAATGTAGTATGCACAGTAGTATGGGTGAATTTTATGTACATATTAAGTAAGTTTAGATTTTTGAAAAGTGGGGAAATGTGTGTCTGGCACTAGACCGGGTGATCATTCATACAGTTGCTTTTTGTTGTGTTATTATTGGCTAGCGTGCGTGAGCGTGTTAGATAGGAGTGAATGGAGACGAATGGTACTTGGGACCTGACGATCTGTTGGAGTGTGAGCAGGGTAATATTTAGTGAAGGGATTTCAGGGAAACCGGTTATTTTCATATAGTCGGACTTGAGTCCTGGAAATGGGAAGTACAATGCCTGCACTTTAAAGGAGAGGTTTGGGATATTGGCAGTTTGGAGGGATATGCTGTGTATCTTTATATGTGTATGCTTCTAAACTGTTGTATTCTGAGCACCTCTGCAAAAACAGTGATAATGTGCGAGTGTGGTGAAAGTGTTGAATGATGATGAAAGTATTCTCTTTTTGGGGATTTTCTTTCTTTTTTGGGTCACCCTGCCTCGGTGGGAGACGGCCGACTTGTTGAAAAAAAAAAAAAATTATTGGCTATATTGTAGTATACCCCCATGCACAGATAGCATACGTGAGGTAGGTATAGATTAGAGAGTAGTATAATGTAAGTAGTGCTGTTTGAGGCAAATAGTAACATATCTTAAAGAGGATGCTAACTGATTTGGGTACTTTTTTTTTTTTATTATAGTATACTGAATGTGGGTGTCGAATTTAAAGTTGCTGTCAGGGAATAGACCTAAGAATTTTCCTTCATTTTGTCTTACAGTGGGAGAACCATTAATTGTAACATTTAGTTGGGCATTTGTACTTCTGATCCCAAACATTGTGTAGTATTTAATATTATATGTCAGAAAAAAAGCGACAGTAATAACTGTAAAATATTGGATAAATATTCTTAATTAAAATAATAAATGAAACTATAGCATGGGTGTCTATGGAGAAGTAGGCTTAAAGGTTCAGGAATGCAATAACGTCGTAAGTTGGGGCCCCTACTGTATTGCGAAGTCAGTATATGTTTTTCATTAGATTTTTGTGACTTACGCTTCAGCAATCAGTATCCTTGAAAATTATGGTTATCCGTTGTATGTTTTTTTTGTTTGTTATACATTATTCTATCTTTTAGGTTGTAAATATACTTAATCTTTTTCTGGCAACATATTTAATTTTTTAAATACTCTGTCATAAAATATGTGTTCATTTTTGCATTTCTCTTATAATAATTTAACTTACACCATTGTTATAATTCGCTGTTAATAGAAGTTGGGCGTTTAAAACAGATTTCATAAAATGATTATTTTGTGCATTCATAATTTATTTTTCAGTACAGATAGTAGACTGGTTGACCAGGTACACATAGTCAACTGGGTATCCTTGTACTGCTAATGTTTTTTTTTATATCTTGGCTAGTATTGCTTTTATAGTGAATATTGTTTTCTCATTCTTTTTCTTGATCTTGTATTGTTCTCTCTCTCTTGCTTCTTCCTTTATATTCTTCCACAAATAGGTAATCACTTGTGTATGTTTGCTGAGGTACTGCTCATTTTTTGTTTGTCACTACAGTCATGTACTAGTTGCCAGAGTTCATACATTTTTTGACAAACATTTCTTGTTGCTGTCTTTGTTGTCATTTAGCTCAAAGGCTACAACCACATGTGACATATGAGCCCTTCTCCCAGAAGAGATATGAGCACATAGCACAAAATGTAGAAGTGCAGTAGGCAAACATTTCAGTTGATCGTTCAAGTCCTAACACTTAAAAATAGCTGAGGAGTCCTGACACATTCTACATGTGGCAGTCTTAGATGGGAAAAAGACATCAAAGATATAGGTAGATATTTATTTGTTCTCCTAAAAAATAATGTACAATATGATTATTATTATCTTTTTTCATAGTATATTCTTTTTGAATTTATAATTTAAAGGGTTGTGCACCTGAAAAATCTGATGTTATGTAGATGTATACTGTAATATCCAATGTTACAGTACAGCGTGAACAGCTGCGCTAGTTCACATATTACTTACACATTTGGTTATTTGTTGCACTTAATTTGCCTTAGTAGTAGATTCTCTGAAGTGATAGTTTCACTCAGGTATTGAGCTTCATAAAAGTTCTTATGTACTTCAGTCTTCTGACGGTACTCTAATGTAGAGTATTTCTTATACCTGTGAGCTATAGTTTACCTTCCATATCGAATCTCGTATATAGTACATATATCCACTGCAATAGTGTTCTTTACATACTGAGGCTTTTGGTAATAGGTCCTCATAGAGCAATTTGCCTTTGTAATCTTTAGGGTGAATAATTCATGTGTATTCAAGTACACATTTAAGACTTTTTGATTAAATTTCTCTGAAATATTTGTTTTTGGAAGTGCTTTCTTGTAGATTATATTAGATGCATTCAAGGTACCTTGCATGGGTAGAAAATAATTAATTTTTTAAACATTTCATAGTTTCCAGTGTAGAGAGATCTATAACATCTCTAGAATGCCAGACATAGAATAGTAAAACACCAGCAAAATTTTCTCTAAGTTAAGACACTAAATATTGCTGGCTAAAGATGTTGCTTGGTTGATGCTGAGGCCTAAAATGGTTTAGCCTGGCTGAATGTTTCTTACATGCAGTATATTTCTGGCAATTTCGGAATTTCCTGCACTGTGAGTCAATTGTTTCTTTCCATTTGTCGATGCTACTGCTGTTCTATTTGTTTTTTCTTTTTAGTGCCATAAACATTGTTTTCCTCATAAAACAAGCAGTAAAAATTTTAAACTTGGTTAGAAAATGGTGATTTAATTTCTACTATACATTCAAAACAAACTGGTGGTATTTTACTTAATTTCTAGATATGCAGTTCATGTGCCATAACAAAAAATGTATCTGTCTGGAGTAAAGATACAACTTAATGGAGATACATGTGTGAAGAGCTCTAATATTAAATATAGCTCATGTGATATACTAAATTATAACTTAGCACAACAGTACAAAAGGTGCAGTATGTTGGTGCTGCATGTTGTTTAAGACATTATGCATTTCCTTTACATTTTCCTGTCATAGCTCTAGAGAAACACTAGGCCACTGTTGTAAACCTATTAAATTTAAAAAAATTGTTCTTTGTATATTTTGTTATATAGAAAAATATTCAGGTACATAAATGTAATAGTAAAAATGCATGCACTTTTTTCCCTTTAAAGCTTTGTCTTTCATATGTTTGCCATTTTAATAACAGGTAACTTATGATTATCTGTGTGAGAGGTAATAAATTGAACTGTGAGTCAGTATATTGACAATATACAGTATTGTAGTATTAAGATTATATACACTGTACTGTACTTCTAATTAGCTTCTAAGTTATTTTTCCATATTTATATTTTTCTCTGTATGTGAAATTCATAGAACTCAATGTATGTATCAGCTCTATGTTAATTTATACATAAATCCATGGTATGTATGAATGAAGAATATTTTTCATGAGTCTGTAAAGGGTTGTTATGGTGTTGTGGAATAGTGCTGAAGTACAGCCAGTAGTAAAAGTGGGAACTTCATGTCAAACCACAATTTTAGTAACATTTGTATTGTGGATGCGACAGCATTTGCTCGATTTAACAGACTGATAGGGGCTAGCTGGTGGCCGGTAATGGTAATTGTGGTGAATAGAGATAGGATTGTTTTGGAGTGATTGTAATAATAATGGACAATTCTGTAATCAGCAGACTTTGTCCATGATTTTCAAATCATTTGGCCTAGCAGATTTTGTCTTGTATTTCTGAAGTCCATTAAATCGAGGTCTGTTGAATTGAGGGTTTATTGTATTAGATTGCATGTTAATTGCTTTCACCACAGTCCTAAATTTAACATTCTTTATTATGAACTATTATCTGCATTGCCATTCACTGTTTCCTACTCTGCTATATGGTTCTAATTACTGTATAGTGGAAATATCTTAAATTTGTGAGACTGATGGTTCATATGAAAGCCTATTTAGAATGTGATTAATGGTTACATTGAAAATGCAGTGGAATTGATATCCCCATCTAACTTTAGGCTCCTGTGCTTGTAACACTTTAATTCCTGTGACAAGTGTGAGAAATAGCTTAAAAGTATCTGCTAATGTTTTAAATGTCATTTAATTACTTACTTTTATCTTGAAACAAAGACTATTAAATTTTAAATAATGTATAATATTTGCATATCTGCAAAATGTAATGAATAGGCAGTATAATAATATTACAGTAGATGTATTATATTATGTATACACAGTATGCTCTATAGTAGTTTTTATATTTAAAGGCATATAATATTTCCTGCTTCTATAGCATATTTTTAAATGGATTTTGTTAGATATTCACAATAATGGTTTTATAAAAAAGTATATTCAGTGGCATTTATAAAGCAGCTATCCAGGCCTAGACAGGGTATCCTTAACCCATCGGACGTCTCTTGCAGGTGCTGCAAAATCACTAATTTTCTAAATTCTTAATTAAAAACAGACCTAAAGTAAATGAAAATCATATTTGCTTGAAATATGTATACACTATGTAATTTTGAAAAATAAATATTTCTCTTTTGTTATTTACAGGAATATACTGTACTACTTATATGTGAGAACAGTAGAGAAAAGGAATGTATGTAGGTAATTAAATTTAAAAGTAAACAAATTTAAATATGAAAAAATCAGTTTGTCGAGGTAGTTTGGTTCTGTAAAATGTTTAGCATGTTAGAGTAAAGTTGTATGAAGAGTGTATGCAGAAGTGTGGCTAAGAGTAGAAGATGGAGCTGGACAAGAGAGATTTCATGGCTAAGCTATTGAAAGGAAGACTGTTACATATCTCTAGGAAAATATCTGCAAATTCTGTTTAAGTGTTATGAGTGTAGACTTAGGTTTCACTGGGTAAATTAGCTCATTGTGAGCAGGGAATAATTATGAAGCTCTCCACCATTATGAATGAATGTGAGAATACATATTAGTTCAGAAGAAAACTAAGCATGCTCGATTCACTCTGATTTAGTTTGCAAGAAAATACAGATAATTGATCAAATAACATATTATCACATATTTGTAGCATTTTGAGTCAGTCTTTGCATTTGATAAAGTTAGGTAACTTAAAATTATAGAAAAAGAGAATTGTGTCTCATGATAAAACCAGGCTTAGACAGGGATGCGATGTCACTATGGTTGTTTCACTTATTAATAGAGGTGATTGTAAAAGTGAATGCTAGGGTGTTAAGGAGAGGTGTGGGATTAAAAGATAAAGAATCTAATACAGTACAGAATGGGAGTTGTCACAGTTGCTTTATTTCTGAAGATAAGTTGCAAAGGTTGGTTGACAAATTTGGGAGGTTAATGATGATAATGATAATGCTTTATTTATGTGAGCATACATATAATGTAGATACACAAGTACAATAGTAGACACAAAGAAAGCATTATCCAATGCATTTCAGGCAACGAATCGTAAGGCTTACAAACTACTTAAGAACTAGACATAGCATTGTGTAGGTCTTGTGTAATTAAATACAATCATACGCATGTAAAAGAAGGAAATTTAAAGCGAACTTATAAGAGCAAGGTGATGAAAGTAACAACAAATTTAGGTAATGAAAGACTGGATAACTATAATAATAATAAATAATAATAATAATAGTGATAATCTGAAAGAAAGATAAACACTTGGAAAAGGTGTTTAAGGTTTTACAGATACAGGGCTAAGCAGTATTGCAAATTCAATTAATTTTCTTCTTTAATTACAATGTGCCTCAACCCTTGTGGGTTTAGCACTTAGTTATGTTATATAATAATACAGTGTGCCTATCACAAGGATTCATGTTCCCAGTTATGATAGTAAAATACTGTACTAAACTATAAAATATGAAACAAAATTATTTTAAGGGAAGAAAATATTGCCTAATGTTGAGTACATGAAGATGTGTGAGCATAAGAACTGTGCATAAGACTGATATTTTGGTAAACAGGACATTAGTGTTTCTTATAATTTAAATAATTTACTATTCGCAGATAATGTACATTTTTTTTTTTTTTTGTGCGAATGCATATGAATGCTACGATGGTACTCTTCAGTATCACATGGCCCTCAGGTTTAAAGTGCTGCTTCCTTTCCTTTAAAAAAAAAAAAATTATATGCTAAGTAAAAGAACAAGGACCACCCAACATCCTGCCGTAAAACCTTGAAATCAAATACGTGCAGTATGTCACTGTACATGTAACGTTTACAAATGTTCAAATTGTCCCACATTAAATAGAATAAGAATTTGTTAATACTGCTCTAGTATTTATTCTCTTGTACTGTATGTGGTAGCATCATTCTCATTATGAAAATGTTCTCAGTGTATTATGTTACTGTATAAATAAATTATGTGGAGTTTACCATATGTAAATATATGTAGGTTGTTTTCAGTACAACATTGATACTGCAGTGCAGGACTAGCACAAAGAAATAATATTGTTCAGTTCTGTACTATGGATATAAATTATCATTGGGAAATGCTAAACTTGTAGGGGGTCATACATCACCTGGGGAGTGGAAGGCAGCATGTTTGATCCAAGTGCACGAAGTGTAATTCCAAGAGGCTTTCATAGGCATCAAAGCACCCTCCTTGAAGAGCTAAAATATAAAATACATGGTATTTGTTGACCTGTGATGTTGGAGCTACATATAGTACAGTACATACATCATGTCTGAGATCATTTTTATAACCATTATTTTAACTTCATTGCTTTCTCATACTCTTAGGATAGACTTTGTAATCTTTGATAGTGGTCTTGTAGTAACAGCCTTACAGTGTAATATCCAGCATTATGAAAATAAGTTTGCTTAATGACCCAATGAATTAAACAAAATCTTTGTCATTCATACGTTATCCTTAATACTGTAGTCATATATATTTGTTTATTTTATTTTAATCAGGGTGAAACACTAAACTCGTAGAGGTCGTAGCGTCTGAGGAATGGGAGGTTATCAGATTTGATCTAAGGAAGGGGAGGCAAGTCCACTCCTTGGATCAAGAGCATTTCACTGGCATCAAGGTACTTTCCTTGAGGGGTCAGTTCATATACAGCATTGTTTAATCTGTTACCAGAATAAATGTAGATTTACCAAAATGTGGGCCTTCTTTTTTGAACACTATCTATACAGTATGCATTTTATTATCATTATCATCATTATTTTATTATTATTATTATTATTAACTTTTACCTCAACGGCTGTCTCCCATCACTGGAAATAAAATAACAGTACATCATGAAAAAAATAATTTCTTTGGTAGTATTATCATTCATCTGGTAACTTTTGTTTAACTTTGCTGTGGGTTTGTGATAAGTATAAGTGAATATAACAATTATGTATGTATTTCTAATCATAAGCTTAGGAATGATAATTATAGGCTGATGCAGATTACTGTACATAATATACAGTACTGGTAGTACAGAATATCTTTCTAACTAAAAGTACAGTACAGTACAGTATTACTGTATGTTTTAAGATGGCATAATAAGTTAAATGTGATTAAAACTGTACATATACATATGCAGTATTTTATATATGAGGCACAGAATACATAGATTACATTTACTATAAAAACATTTTCAAGTCTTCAGGCAATGCTGTTGGATATTTTAACACAGTAATATTGGAATTATACATTCCCATGTTTTATTGGAATCATAAATCTCTGATTCTGTGTATAGAAATTGCAAATGAGACAGAGGCTGAGCTACGTGAACAGTTGAGCCCTCAAATATGGGAAGGTTATGTTTTTGGAGATGTGAATCCTGAAGCCATGGATAATAGGAAATTTCACATATCAGAGTTGTTTAAATGTTAGTTTTCCATGTCACTCTAAATATTGCTTTAAATTGCCTAATATTGACATTTATGGAAGTGAATGAGTATGTTTTGAATGAAATCCTATGATTCTTTTGCAGTTCAGTGGTCCTGCATTAAAAAAAAAAAATGAGCAAGAAAAATTTAAGAAACCAAGCTACGTAATCACAAAATAGTCTACGGTAAAAATTCATAATCAAATCATGTGAAATGTAAAGCACATGAATTCCAGGGTTCAAATATATTTGAAAATGAGTTTCATATAATGCTTCATCTTAATACAGTATTAGCAAATAAATAGGCAAACTATCCTAAATGTAAATTTTTGGCTATATATTTTGGCAGAGCCAGTGTTAAAAAAATATTTTAAGTAATGCAACAGGGTTTATTTAAGCTGTATGTTAAAATATGCATATAAATTTATTAATGCTAAAAAATTTTAACTATTACACACTTTTTCCAACTAAAAACCAGATTCGTAATTACATATTCCATTATATCATGTTGTCAGAGTGGCTGTATGTTAGGTACTGTTTTTATTTTCAAAGATCTACTACAACAGCTGATAATGATTACTATATAATTGAATGTTAACACACTTGATACAGAGCTTATTAGATGAGTTTTCTTATTACAGTATTATTTTTACAAAGATGTATTAAACTCATATGGTTAATTCATTGCCACTAGCTGATTATGAACACAATTACAGAACCTTTATAATCATGTCTTCTCTGTCCTCTTACATGTAGGTTGTAGGTGAATATAACTGAATGAATCCTTATCGCAAGAATAAAATACAGTCCATAAAATATGGTATTTTTCACCTGTATATCCCTTGGGGGGAAGGGGTATTGATGTAGGGAATTAGAACAACTCTCCCCTTCCTCAGATCAAACCTGATTGCCTCTCATTTCCCAGGTGTTGTATGGCCCTTATGGTTTAGCATTTCCCCATTATAATAATAAGTCACTTAAGTATATGCAGTTATGGAATATTTAAAATGATCACTTGGATAATATAAGTTGCAGTTTTATTGATTGCAAATACTGTGTGAAGTACAGTACAGTATATCATTATTGTTATTATTACAGTATTGCATTACATTCACAAAATGAGTGATAAATGCATATGAGTCAAACAAAGCTAATGAAGCACTATAGTAATAATAATATCAAACTGAGTGCTAAACCTGAAAGGATTATACAGCACCGAATGGTGGGATATGCTAAAGAAGGAATATGTGAAGGTCAGGAACAAGCATGGGGCAGGAATATGTAAGAATAAGGGTAAGTTGGGGTAGTGAAGAAAGACGAGGGTAAAATATAATAAAAGTTGGTGCAATAAGTTATTGTTAAAATGTCAGTCTGCATCAGAGGTGGAATTTTCAGTGAGGAGTTTAGGGAAAGTAAGTGTGGTAGGAAGTGGTTGGATATTAGAAGTGAAGTCTGTGTGCCTGTTGATAAACAAGACGGTATAAGATTATAATCATAACTAAGCGCTAAAAGGACAGTCTAAAGAGATCATGAACTGACAATGCAACCAGGCAATCCTCACAGAGCAGTACTGGGCATTTCTCCTTAAGATACCTGTGAGACGTGTGGCCAATACGCGGGCAGGAGAGCAGTCTCCCAAACATGGCAATGGTGGTAAGATGGCCAGAAACCCAAACATGATATGACAAAGTAATTTGTTGTGGACCAACTTGAACCAAGGTTGTAGCCAAAGGTTGCCAAATTATTAGAGAATACTGCAAGTTAATCCATGCAAGGAAGACCCCTGTATAAAATTGGGAGGTTATGAACGGATGACTGAGTGGCGGTATCTGCCTGTTCATTACCCTGTGAATCAATGTATCCAGGGACCCAGTAGAAAATGACATCTTTGTGTTTACTAGAAATACAGCATAACCATAGTTGTCTATGTAGGACAATGGGATGAGAAGAATCAAATTTCTGGATAGCCTGTAATGCATTATAGCAGTGTGTACTCTGCAATAGCATGAGAATGAGAATGAAAGTGGTTAAGAGTGAGCATGAACATATAGTAGGTAATTGAGCTTTTGCACATGGAAGTGGGGAAAAGCAAACACAAATCATTAGAACTTTCCAAGGGGGAAGAGAAAGCAAGATTCTGAATGGACATAAAGAGAAAGTAAATTAAGGAAAGTCAATAGAGAGTGAATAGAGGAAGGAAAGAGCCATAGTAAATATATGGGCGACGAATAAATACAGAAGTTCTATTAACATCCAGTACCATCCTACATGAACAAGGACTATAAACATCATGAGAGTACAAGGACTGTAAACATCATGAGAGCAGACAAACAACAAAGACAATGGGCACTGCACTGATCTTGCAAAAATGGAACATTCACCAGTCTGAAATACAGTCAATAATATTCTGGAGAGAAACTGCACAAACAATAGCAAAATCAACAAAGTGATGACCAGATACTGGATGGAAGAACAGAGGTAAGGTCAATGATAGCAAGCAAAAAAAAGGGTGGTACTAAGAACACAACATTGAGAGAGACCTGCAACCTGGATGAAGTCGGGAAAACTCATCATTAACCTAGATACAGTGTCTCTTCAACAAGAAATTCTTAAGGAAAAGTGGCAGATTGTCCCAAAGGCCCAAAGAATGAGCCTGGGCCAAGATGATGTAATGCCAGGTGGTGTCATACACTTTTTCATGATTTAACAAGACCACAAAAAACTGAGTGTTTTTTAGCGATCTTACAGACACAGGTATCTAAGTGGTTAAAGAGTAAATAGCGGACTGCCCCTACAAAAAGCTAAATTGACAAGGGGTGACAACTATGTATTTCCATATACCACACCAAATGTTTGGTCACATGTAAATGTCTGTCACTCGAGTAAGATTTCATGTATGATAGAGCACGACTTCTTATTCCATAATATTCAGGATGGATAATGAGAACCTTCAAAACTAGGGATGCCAACCCCATGATGACACTCTTCAGGTCGCTTGTTCTATCTAGGCTGGAATATTGCTGCACACTAACAGCACCTTTCAAGGCAGGTGAAATTGTTGACCTAGAAAATGTACAGAGAACCTTCACGGCACGCATAATGGAGATAAAACACCTCAATTACTGGGAGCGCTTGAAGTTCCTGAACCTGTACTCCCTGGAATGCAGGCGGGAGAGATCCATGATTATATACACCTGGAAAATCCTAGAGGAACTAGTACTGAACTTGCACACGAAAATCACTCACAACGAAAGCAAAAGACTCGGCAGACGATGCAACATCCCCCCAATGAAAAGCAGGGGTGTCACTAGCACGTTAAGAGACAATACAATAAGTGTCAGGGCCCGAGACTGTTCAACTGCCTCCCAGCATACATAAGGGGGATTACCAATAGACCCCAGGCTGTCTTCAAGCAGGCACTGGACAAGCACCTAAAGTCGGTACCTGACCAGCCGGGCTGTGGCTCGTATGTTGGATTGCGTGCAGCCAGCAGTAACAGCCTGGTCGATCAGGCTCTGATCCACCATGAGGCCTGGTCACAGACCGGGCCGCGGGGGCGTTGACCCCCGGAACTCTCCCCAGGTAAACTCCAGGTATGTGCAGCAGAATGTTGTGGTCTACTGTATCGGCAGCTTTTTTTGAGGTCAATAAGAGAGGCTCATTAACTATTCATTATTTTCAAGAGAGGACTAGATTGCATTACTAGATTGATCAAAGCATTTCTATAATTGCATCACTGGTACTTCAGCCTAGTCTGAAATCAGACTGATATGAGGATACTGTATT